ACACACACACACACACACACACAACACACACGCGCACACGCGCACGCGCACTCGCACACGCACGCGCACACGCGCACGCGCACGCGCACGCGCACGCGCACGCGCACGCGCACGCGCACGCGCACGCGCACGCGCACACGCACACGCACACGCACACGCACACGCACACGCACACGCACACGCACACGCACAACAAAACAAATTACCCTGCGACGTACCCAACCCATGTGCATCAAGTGGCAAGAGGAGTAGGCCAACATTGGCAGGAACAACGACAATGTAGACACGGTGATTTGTTGCGCAATCTACATGGGACGCGCATGCGTTGCACGACTCACAGGACGACGATCGAAAGAACGAGGATCCAGGCCCCAGGCTCGAAGAAGAACGGGGACGGGAACGAGGGGCAGGAGGAGGATGGAATGGGGGGGCGAAAGGCCATCGCGGCAGCAGCAGCATGCATGGAGCAGGCGAAGCGGGGAATAGGACGACAATGAAGGTGGCGGGAGGAGACAGAAAAGCGCCGCGTTTTCAGGTACACGCTAAACACTGAGCGCTGCCTGCGCCATGTCGTCGCAGCGTTCCACAGGCTCAAACCTGCTTATAGTAAGTGCAAGAAGCGAGCGAGACTTAGCTCGCCCGCTAGCTTCTCCGCCTCATCCCTGCACATTTAGTGCGGGAGCTGAACGTTCGCAGGCGCGCCGCCAGGTCTGCGGGCGGCCCGCGGGAAATGACACATTTTCACAGATCGCAGCCCTCCAGGGATGGCGAAGTCTAATCTGAATCCCCGTATGACGTCACTCCGCTGGCCACCCCAGCACCCCTCGAAAGTGGCGACAGTTTCGCAGATCGCAGCCCCCCAGAGATGGCGAGGTCTAATCTGAGTCCCCGTGGGGCGTCACTCCGCTGGCCACCCCAGCAGCCCTCGAAAGTGGCGACAGTTTCACAGATCGCAGCCCCCCAGGGATGGCGAGGTCTAATCTGAGTCCCCGTAGGGCGTCACTCCGCTGGCCACCCCAGCAGCCCTCGAAAGTGGCGACAGTTTCACAGATCGCAGCCCCCCAGAGATGGCGAGGTCTAATCTGAGTCCCCGTGGTGCCTCACTCCGCTGGACCCACCAGCAGCCCTCGAAAGTGGCGACAGTTTCACAGATCGCAGCCCCCCCCCAGGGATGGCGAGGTCTAATCTGAGTCCCCGTGGTGCCTCACTCCGCTGGACCCACCAGCAGCCCTCGAAAGTGGCGACAGTTTCACAGATCGCAGCCCCCCAGAGATGGCGAGGTCTAATCTGAGTCCCCGTGGTGCCTCACTCCGCTGGACCCACCAGCAGCCCTCGAAAGTGGCGACAGTTTCACAGATCGCAGCCCCCCAGGGATGGCGAGGTCTAATCTGAGTCCCCGTGGTGCCTCACTCCGCTGGACCCACCAGCAGCCCTCGAAAGTGGTGACAGTTTCACAGATCGCAGCCCCCCCCCCCCAGGGATGGCGAGGTCTAATCTGAATCCCCGTGGTGCCTCACTCCGCTGGACCCACCAGCAGCCATCGAAAGTGGCGACAGTTTCACAGATCGCAGCCCCCCCCCCCCCAGGGATGGCGAGGTCTAATCTGAATCCCCGTGGTGCCTCACTCCGCTGGATTTACCAGCAGCCCTCGAAAGTGGTGACAGTTCCGCAGATCGCAGCCCCCCAGAGATGACGTAAAAGGCAAGAGAAGAGAAGAGAGGAGGAGAAGGCAAGCAAGAGAGGAGAGGAGGAGGGAAGAGAGGGGGGGGGCGGGAAGGAAGGAAGGTGGAGACCGCAGTGCTCTATTCAAAACGAGTACCCAACGCAGGAGGGTTGGGAAACATCAAAAAATTGTAGGGGGACTCTTTTTCCGTGTTTTTTTTTTTTGTTCTGTTCTACCTTTTGGGCGTATGTTTGGGGTAGTTTTTTTTTTAATTTCTCGTCGAGAATCCCCCCCCTGTAGGGGGCCACGCCCGACACCGCCCGAGGGTCGGCGCCGTGCCGGCCGGCGGAGGGGGCCCCGCCGGCGGCGTGCCGCGCAGGAGGGCGGCCCGGCGGCGGCCCACGAGGTCGGTCGACGCTGCGGGAGCTGACGGTGCGGAAGCCATTCCTCCTCCTCCTCCTCCTCCCCCTCCCCCTCCCCCTCCCCTCCCCCACCCCCTCCCCCTCCCCCTCCCCTCCCTCCCCCTCCCCCTCTCCCCCTCCCCCTCCACCCCCTCCTCCTCCTCCTCCTCCTCCTCCTCCTCCTCCTCCTCCTCCTCCTCCTCCTCCGCTGCGGGATCTGACGGTGCGTTCCTCACCAGAAGGTTTCATTCCTCATTGTTTGCGGCGCCGGTCCCCTCGAGATTCTGCAGGTGTCCTTGCGACTCCCTTTCGACCCTCCAGAGTTCCATGATGTGCTTGGAGTTCCTTCAGATTCGCCCACTGCTGTTGGTCTCCTGGCGGTTATGCAGGTTTCCCAGGCAAAATCCCACCCCCACCCCCAGTCCCGATAAAAACACTCCCCATATATTTCCCATGTTTTCGGGGTTTCTGTCTCCCCCCCCCCCACTTTCCATATTTTCTTATATTCTCCTGGGGGTCGACGATTAATTGTCTGTGTGCTTTTTCCCCTCCTGATGTGAGAAGGCGAAATCCCACCCCCACCCCCAGTCCCGACGCCCATCCCCGAGCCAGCGATTCAAGGGGCCGAGACTGGGGGTGGGGGCGGGTGTTCTCCATGCCTGGGCCCCGAAAACCCACCCCCACCCCCAGTCCCGACTCCTTGAATCGCGGGTTCGGGGATGGGCGTCGGGACTGGGGGTGGGGGTGGGATTTCGCCTTCTCACATCAGGAGGGGAAAAAGCACACAGACAATTAATCGTCGACCCCCAGGAGAATATAAGAAAATATGGAAAGTGGGGGGGGAGACAGAAACCCAGAAAATATGGGAAAATATGGGGAGTGTTTTTATTAGTGTGTATTTATGTGTGTGTCCCAGGGCCCCTTCAGTTCAGGGCTGGATATCAGGGCAGCGAAGAAGGACATCAACATAATCACTCGGAGGTCCACGTGGATTCCTCGGATCGGCGCTGGAGCCCCCTGGCGACGCCTCCAGCGCCTGGGGCGCTGGAGCGCGCCAGGCGGGGGGGGCCCAGCGCGGATCCCAAAAAAATCCGCGCGGACCTCCAGAAGTTTGTATTTAGGTTTGTTTTTTCCTCCAGTCGTGCGATTCCCGTGGAGTCAGAAGCCAACCAACGCCGTAGCCAGACACTGCCATGCCGCCGATCGTGAGCTCTCGGGGGTCCGCGCTTGCTTGTTTGACCGGCGCTCCAGCCCCCTTGCAAGGGCGTCCGATTTGGAAGGCCCACCCTGACCTTCAGGAGGACCAAAAAATAGCACGCGACTTAAAAACCTATCCCGGAGCTATTATATGTCTTGGTTTTAGGCTGTTTCGTTTCGTTTTTTAGGTTGTTAGGCCCCCCGTGCTAAGAAGTAGCTCTCTGGACGGTCACGGCAAGGGCCCCGCATCTTTGCCCTGACCTTCCAGAGGGACAAGCAGGAGGAGGAGGAGGAGGAGGAGGAGGAGGAGGAGGAGACGAGGAGGAGGAGGAGGAGGAGGAGGAGGAGGAGGGAGGAGGAAGGAGGAGGGAGTAAGAGGAGTAAGAGGAGGAGAGGAGGAGGAGGAGGAGGAGGAGGAGGAGGAGGAGGAGGAGGAGGAGGAGGAGGAGTAAGAGGAGTAGGAGGAGGGCGTCCGACTGGGAAGGCCCGAGGGCCCCGCATCCTTGCCCTGCGCGTCCTCGCCGGCTTCTCGGCCGAGCCCCAGCCAGGCTCGACGTGCTGGGGCGCCCCGAGCAGCCGGACGCCCCTGCGCTGCAGTGGGCCAGTTTCCTTGCCCTGCGTTCGCACCCCAAAAATGCCCCCAAAAGGTCAATACATCTATATATATATATATATATATATATATATGTCCCCAGACTATGTTTGGATTATTCTTGGATTATTTTTGGTGTATTTTTTATGCTTCGGCGAAAATCCGCCTGTAGGGGGACGGGCCCGACTTAATCGTACCCTCGATGTTGACTGCATGCCCGTGGCGACGTTTCTCCCTCGAGAGCCTGCCGCCGCGGCAGCCGGCGCGGCCGGCGCGGCCGCGCGCGGGCCGAGGGTCGTCGGCACCGCGCGCGAGCCCGGCCCCGCCGCGGGCGCGGGGGGGGCCGCCGCGGAGGCGGCAGGCGCGGGCGCGACCAGCGAGGCCGCGCGCGCAGCGAAGGCCTGGAAGGCCTACCAGGACCTGGGCCTCTCGAGTCAAGGGCTCCCCCGAGGGCGCGAAGTTATTCGCGCTTCGCGCTTCGCGGTCCTCGTTTCTCCTCCCCCTCCTCCTCGTCCTCCTTTTCTCCTTCTGGGAGGGCGGCGCGAGAGCGCGAAGTTATTCGCGCTTCGCGCAGCGCGAAGCGCGAAGTTGGGAGCCCTAGTCGAGTGTGGTCGATCGAGGATGGAGCACGGGGGATCGATGGGGGGTCGAGAACTGCTCGAGGGTCGAGCGTCGAGGGTCGGTCGAGGATCGAGGTGCCGGGGTCGGTCGACGATCGAGGTTCCAGGCTGGAGGGTCGGGGCTCGGGCAAGGGAGGGGGATCGAGGATCGAGGAGATGGGGTCGGAGGGGCGCGCCGTGTCGGCGATGCGTCGGCGATGCGGCTCGATGTGGAACCCCACTATCTCCATGCCCACGGCGCCGATGCATCGCCGACGTCGCCAGTGCATCGCCGATGCATCGGCGATGCGGCGCGGTCCTCCGACCCCACCGACAGTGGAGGCCCATGCCAAGAAGCGCCCTGCCTGCCTCCCAGGGTGCCCAGGGTTTCTTGGGCTTCGATGGATTTTCTACGGAGAGGGTGACGTGCCCACGCCCGAAAAGCAGAGGACATCCTGGGGTCTCAGGGTTGGGTTTCTTGCCGAAGGCTTCTTGTGATCGGGCTCCCACGGCACTCGGACCGGGATCCGTGCGGGAGGGCTCTGCAGGACTTCGTCGCCGACCCGGGCCCCAAGTGCCCGACGTGCTGGCTGCTCAGGAAGTGTGGTCCCCAAACGTGGTGGTGAGAACACCCGGTGGTGAGTTTTGGGCGATTTGGGTGATGGTTTTCGAGCGCTGGCTGGCCCAGGAAACGCAAAACCTCGTGGCGATCGCGTGTCCCCAAACCCGGTGGTGACCCAGAATTATTTTTTGGGGGAATCGGGGTCACCACCGGGTGTCTCACCACCTGGTTTGGAGACCACCAAGGAAGCACTGCAGCTGCCACGGGCTGGAGGCGCTCCGCGCAGAGCTCCGGATGCAGGTCTCCGCTCGGGGGGCCTGGCCGTAAGTCGGGGACGTCCCTCTTCAGGAGGAATGTTCAAGAATATTCCAGATTTCGTAATAAAAGGGAGGGGGTCTCAACCCTCCCAGACGAGAAGTTTTAGACCCCCCCCCTGGGAGAACCCTCCAAAACATCGTCCCCAGACCCCCCCAGGCCCTCCAAGATAGCCTGGAAGAGACCCCCCCCCGAAATGAGACCCCCCTCCCTTTATTACGAAATCTGGAGTAGTTAAAAAATAGTCCGGGGACGATTTCTTGATTATTTTTGATGGCCTAGTTGCATTTTTCGTCCAGCATCCGCCTGTAGGAGGACAGGCCCGACATAAATCTAGCCTGGGGAAGGAAGCTCTACATACCGACGCGTTTTCCGGCCCTGCACTGACGCTTGCACAGGCAACCGGATCTTGGTGTATACGGGATCTTGGTGTATACAAGTTTCGTTGTTTCCCCTGGAAAACGGGGAAGAGAGTATACACCATACCACCCCGACGTCACCCCCGACCCTCCAAGAGTCCTGGGATTGGAAGACCGCCCGCCATTGGTAATGTATGCATCTTCTCCAGTCTCCGAGAGCCGTGTCCACCTCTGCCGGGAGAGCCGTGCCCCTGCGGGTATTGGACGCGTCCGCGATGGGATACCGCCCTGCCCGGAGTGGGCCCTGGAAACGGGGGAACAACAGAACCGATATTTGGAACATGAAGACTCGAAAAAGAAAAAACGGCATAAACACAAACTTTTGGCGCTCAGCGCGGATTTCTTGGATCCGCGCTGTGGCCCCCCTGGCGGCGCCTCCGGCGCCGCTCCTGGCGCGCTCCGCGCGCCAGGGAGGGGGGCCAGCGTGGATCCAACAAATCCTCGCGGAGTGCCAGAAGTTTCCACCCTCATGGAGTAGATCTTGGCGGCTTTGGGCGCCTATTTCGAGCAGGTAGAGTCTCTCCCAGAGTCTCTCCCAGAGGACGCACTGCAGCAAACAGTCGCTTTCAGCAGAGGTCCTGAGACAGGCTTCCCCCCTCCCCCCCACCTTCCGCCCAGTGTCGAAACGCCGAATAAGATAACGTTCACAAACGTTTTATACTAATACTCTGGGATTGGCACAGAAGCGGGACTGGGAGCAAGTCGGCGGCGGAAGCGGTACACAAACGGCGCCGGCGCCGGCAATTGACAAAAACGGCACAACAGAACCAGTTCAAACATTTTCTTGCCGCTTTCGGAGCCCACCTAAGGCCCTGCCCCATGAGGGCGGGACGTTTCCACCTCGGAGGATCCGAGGGAGCATCGGCGTTCGTTCGTTCGTTCGCAAGCCATGTCGCACGACACATCGGCTCAGCAGGGGAAAACATCCATGCCGCGCAGGATGCGCAGCAATCGTATATTACACCTCAGCAAATATGGGGTCAATGGTAAGGCCATATTGTTTGACAATTGCTTTCCAGATTGGCCCGTGGGTAGACATCCCCTGCGTGAGAGGTCGTGCTCGTGATGCACTACTCGGAGGTCGGCAGGCATCTCGGGTCCAACACCGCCAAGCTGCTGCTGCACTTCGGTGCGGAGCTGCTCGTCTGGGGGCTCGAGTCGCACGAGCGTCGGCTGGCGGAGATGGTGGGCGCTGATCCTCGAAGAGCAAACATCTGCATGGACATGGGGTTCGGGGGCAACGATAACGGGGTGATAGGCCTAGGGGGAATGCATCGACCTCGAGTGGCCGATGCATCGACGATGCACCGACGATGCATCCGCGATTGCAGGGCGATGTATCGACGATGTGTAGACGATGCATGTGGCGGTCTGCATCGACGATGTATCGGCCACACATGGGCGATGTATCGGCCATTCGATGCATGCCCCCCGATGCTCACCCCCCCATGCTTGCCCCTTATGAGTTGCGGGAGCTCCGCGTGGATTTCTTTGGGACTCCCTGGGCGGCGCCTCCGGCGCCACCCTTGGTGCACTCCGCGGGCCAGGAAGGGGGGGTCTAGCGCCAAGTTATAAAATCCTCGCTGACTTCCAAAAGTTGGTGTTTACGCAGATCTTTCCTCTTCTAGATCCCGAGGGGACCGTTGTATTGTTCCCGTCGGCCGGGGCGGTCGCAGCGAGCGAGATGAGGGGCTCGGCGTTGCCTCGCCGCGTCATCGTCGTGGACGGCGGCTGGCGCGAGTGCAAGAGGATGAACGAGTCCATCGATTCTCGGGTCCGCAGGTGCTCACCGATTCAATCGGGATCGGCCCCTGGGGCCGTCGAGGGGGTGCAGGGCTTCGTTTTCCTTCCCTCGTAGCTTCCTTTTCCGCCAGCAGATAGATTTCCGCTGGTCTTCCAGACTGGGCCTGTACGGTCGTCGTGGGCAGGGGCGCGAAGAGCCCCGCGATCTGGGCCAGAGAGGTGCCTCTGCTCCACGGGCTTGGCGTCGCTCGGACGTGTGCGTCTTCTTCGGCGAGAACTACAGTGAACCCGCACAGTAAGGATAGGCAACCTTCCCAAGGGTACCCGTGCATCCCTGCCTCCTCTGTCCATCCTTGGCCACTTTCGTTGGCCGCGCCCCGATCGAAGAGCTCAGAAATGGGCGTTCAAGGCCCTTGCGCATCCTCACTCCGCGCATCCTTATGATACGGGTCGACCCTGCCCCGTCCGAGGAGCACTTTGGAGCATCTTGCGGAAACACACACGCGCAGGACAGCGACACATGCTCGGGGATGGGCCGTCCGAGCGAGGGCGGGCGAGGGGGGGGTCCAGGGTCCAGGCAGGGGGGTGCTTGGACAGCGGGGGGGGCCTGGGCCTGGCGGGGAGGGGCACCGGTCAGCGGCGCGCCTCCCTCCCCCATCCCGCCCCTGCCCCCCCTTCCCTCTTCCCGCGCCGCCCCCCTTCCCTTCACTCGTCCGGCGCTCGGCCGTCATGTCGTGCCTCTGGGCTCCGTCTGCGCTCTTGTAAAAAGAGTGCAGGGCCAGCTCAGGACCTCGGAGCCTGCCAGAGCGCCCACGCTCGCCCGCCGCGAGAGTCTCTCTGTGGCACTATCGCCGATGCCGCCGCAGCAGGCCGGCTCGGGGGCCCGAGAATCCACGAGGGGCCCACCACCACCACCTCCTTCTCCACCTCCTCCTCCACCTCCTCCTCCTCCTCCTCCTCCTCTTCCTCCTCCTCCTCCTCCGCCTCCTCCTCCTCCTCCTCCTCCCCTCCGTCTCTTCCTCCTCCTCCTCCTCCTCTTCCTCCTCCTCCAAGCTTCCAGGGTTCGCTCGGTGCCGTCTGCCCCGGCGGGGCGGAGGGGGCAGAGCCTGGCCACGCACAGGCCTTCCCGCCAGCGCAGCGCCTGGCCCGCGCGCGCCAGGCCCGCTCGAGGACGAAGTCGCTCCGGGGCGCGCTTGGAGCGTGCCGAGGCGCTCTCGGAGCGGGCCGCGGCGTCCTCCTCCTCCTCCTCCTCCTCCTCCTCCTCCTCCTCCTCCTCCTCCTCCTCCTCCGTCTCTTCCTCCTCCTCCTCCTCCTCCTCCTCCTCCTCTTCCTCCCGATGCCTCGTCCAGGCAGCCGCTCGATCTCAGAGGTCCTCGAGTTGGATGCATCATCCCGTCGGCGGCGAGCGATGGGGGGAGGAGTGAGAAGGAAGAAGGCCTTGTCGGGAGGCGGCGGGACTTCTCAGAAGCCCTCGCGCCTGCTGAGACGCTGCTGGTGTTTTCGGGGAAGGCTAAAAGAACTTCTCATAAGGTCGGGGGACTACCGAGCCTGCTGAGAAGGTCCGCCCCTTCTCACTTCCCCCCCGGGCGCGCCGCCTAGAGGCGCTCTCGGAGTGTTGCGGGCTGCTCCGGCACAGGCCGCGGCGGCCGATGCATCGTCCAGGCAGCCGCCTGATCTCAGAGATCCTCGGCCTGGATGCATCCTCCTTGCATCCGCTTGATCTCAGAGATCCTTTGGGTTCTCCAAGGCCGACTTGGTCCGGGTCCTGGCTGCGCCTGTGGACTTTTTTGGGGGAAGGGGCGCCGCAAGGCCGAGGTGCAGTGGATATGGATAAAAAAAGCCGTGCTCCCAGGGGACAAGATTATCCATGTCCAGTGCGCCTCGGGTGTTCTGGAGAAGGGAGCTCGAAACTCCATATTGCAGTTGAGATGGACAGAAGTGCTGCTCGCATGAGGGGCGACACGGACGGGGGTGCGGGGGAGGGGTCTGCAGACGGGATGGGCGGCGCCATGGGAAAGGCCGAGAGGGGCTCACACCGAAAAGCAGTGGAGGGATGAGCACAGCACTATCCTTAAGTCGGGCATGTTCCTCCACAGGAGGAACAGTCAAACATGGGTTACACAGAGTCAGGGGACGGTTCTTCTATTTGCTTGACTACGTTGGTGCACGTGTGTTTACCACTGTCTGCTTTTCGTCCAAAGCCGCCTGTAGGAGGACATGCCCGACCCCACACTTTTTTGCCAGCGCGAGCGAGCCCCGCGGCGACAACGAAAGAGAAGGGAGGGGGAGGAGGAGCGGGGAGGGGGTGAACCCGGCAGCCCTACCCCTGGGCTGCGCCGCATTTAGCCTGGAGGAACACTACCCCGGACATGCCCGGACCCTGTGGGGAAAAACACGCAGTTTGTGTGGCCTCCCGTCCGCTTGGCCCAGCGTTTACGCCGCTTGCAGGAGGAAAGGACGATGACGGTCCTGCGGCAGGTTTACCTGCCGACTCCACGTTTTTGTTTTCGGTGTTAGTGGCATGCTTGCGAATGGGAGTCAGGGCGATAACGGTCCTGTGGCAGTATGGCCTGCCAGCTCCTCGTGGTGGTCACTCGTTGGCGCGGTCTCCCTTTCGCCTCTTCCTCCCCCTTCTCCAAAATAGCGCTGAAAACAAAAAAAGTTTGTGTGTGTTTTTCCCCACAGTGTGTTCTTCCCCACTGTGCGTGTTTCCCCACGCTGCCCCTCACAACAGGCACGCTCCGCGCCTCGTGCGGCCCCGCCTCGGGCCGCCCCGGGCGGGGCAGCTCCCGGGGGCACCCGGAGAACTCTTCGGAGCCCTACCCCTGGGCTGCCCTACCCCTGGGCTGCGCCGCACTAGCCTGGAGGAACACTACCCCGGACGTGCCCGGCCCAAAACACTGCCCCTCAAGAGGAACACGCTTCGCGCCCGGTGCGGCCCCGCCTCGGGCCGCCCCGGGCGGCCGCGGGTTCCTGCGCAGTGGGGGGGGGGGAGCAGCTCCCGGGGGGCACCCGGAGAACTCTCCGGAGCCGGCGCGGCGGTCTGAGCCTCAATGAGCCCTGGAAACGGCAGGGCGTTTTTTTTTGTTACGTTCTTTGCCGGTTCCGACGCCGTGTTTGTTTACCAATTCCGTCGCCGCTCTGCCGCTTCCGGGGCCCACTAAGGTCTGAGCCTCACGCGCAGACGAAGTCATCGAGAATAACAAACATGCCCAGCCCTACTGACACAGGGAAGGCGCGGCCCCACCGCAGGCATCAGTGATACTGGATCTGGGCGGTTTACCGGTTCCGTTCTGCCGTTGTTTTGCCGGTTCCGACGCCGTGCTTGTGTGCCGGTTCCGTCGCCGTTCTTGTGCGGGTTCTTGCTCAGGTTCCACTCCTGGGGCCGTTTTTGTCGTCGTTTCCGGTCGCCGCTTTTTTGCCGTTTCCATTTTCAAGGATTTTTTTTCCGGAAGCGGTGAAAAACGGCCCTGCCGTTTCCGGGGCCCACTAAGGTCTGAGCTTCAGGCGCAGTCAAAATCATCGAGAATAACGAAAAGCCTAGCCCTAACTAACACAGGGAAGACGTGGCCTCACCGAAGTCATCAGGGATAACAGATCTGGGCGGCGTGGTTCGGTACATCTGCAGAAGCACCCCCTGTCCCTGATGTTTTTGGCCCTCCTAACTTAGGTCCCCTCCCAAAGGGTTGGGGGATCCTCTTTTTAGTTGATCGTGTGATGTTCCAACCTACTTTAGCCTCGATCGCCAGAAAGAGTTTCAAGCACCAGGAACGCACCGAAACGTGAGGGTTTACACGTGTGGGGCCCTGGGAGGCGATACAGTGAAAGCCTTGAGTAAGGAGCACTTACTTTTCAAAAGGGGCTCGGTCGTTCCTTCTGGCTTCATGGGCTTACTTGGAAAAATAGGGGTTTCGCTCCTTATTTATGGTTCCTTAGGTCAAGACCCTCACTGTACTCGTTCGACACTGTTTCGACATTCTTCAATTATTTCTGGGATGTGGTCCTTAAGTAAGATGGGAACAGCATAAAGTTAATCACGAAACGCTGGACAAGTGGGGGAGGGGGGGCCAGACAGGGGGGGGGGAACAACAGAAAGTTTATCACGAAAAGCTGGACGGGTGGGGCGGGCCAGACAGGGGGGGGTCCACGCGGGCAGGTCTGGACGGGGGGGGTGCGGTGGGTGCGCTGGACTGCGCGAGGCGCCGAGAAGTCGGGCGGCTTGCTGCCCAGTCTCCTTCAGACCCGGGCGTCGCAGAGGGGGGGAGGAGGAGGAGGAGGAGGAGGAGGAGGAGGAGGAGGACGAGGAGGAGGAGGAGGAGGAGGAGGAGGAGGAGGAGGAGGAGGAGGAGCAGGAGAGGGGGAGGAGGAGGAGAGGAGGAGGAGGAGGAGGAGGAGGAGGAGGAGGAGGAGGAGGAGGAGGAGGACGGGGAGGTGACGGCTTGCTTCTCTACGTTTGCGGCTTCTTGAAGTTCTCCCTCGACTAGGGCCGACGAAAAAAACACGTCCAGGATGAACGTCCAGTCCAGCGGAAGGGTTCGAGATCCCCAGGGGGGAGACGTCGCTGACACATGTCGAGTTACTTCGGAGGAGAGGGCTGCAAGAGCACTGCACCTCCCCCGCAGACATGCTCCGACCTGTTTTTTTGTTGTTCCAGCCCGCGGCCCCAGCGCTTCCGACCCCTTCCTGCGGGGGCAGTTTTGTTTCGTCCCCGACGCGTTTTTTCGATGGCACACGGGGCCCGAACACGGGCCCCGGAGGCAGAGCGTCCACATCCGCGAGCACGCCCCCCCCCCGGATGGAAAGAGTGCTCTGGGCAGCCTGCCCAGGAACGCCCATTGAGGACACCGCGCCCCCGAGGACCCTCCCTGGCTCCTGAGAAGCCTCCTCCTCCTCCTCCTCCTCGTCGTCCTCCTCCTCCTCCTCCTCCTCCTCCTCTCCTCCTCCTCCTCCCTCCTCCTCCTCCTCCTCCTCCTCCTCTCCTCCTCCTCCTCCTCCTCCTCCTCCTCCTCCTCCTCCTCCTCCTCCTCCTCCTCCTCCTC